AATGAGTAGACAAGCAGAAAAGCTGCAGTAAGCCAGGAAATGTCACAAGGTTCATGTTTAAATGGCATCAGCTTTATTTCCTAAAATATAGTTTTAATCTCACAGACAAAATGAACTTCCAGAATTTTTTTCCTTAGTTCCAGCAAGTCAAGTCCTTCCCAACTGCTAATTGATTGTAGCAGTGCAGCTACACTCAGGTCTCATTTTATTTCAGTTGCTCCCACCACATCTGCTGCATTGGATTTGCAAAATCTGCCAGTTACCCTTCGCTACTGTAGCAGTGTCCTGATACCCACCTTCCAATGATGGATGATGTGAAAGTAGCCTCCAGGGACTCTAGTGATTTATATTCTGCATTTTTGCGTGGTGGGGAAAACTCCTTTTTAAAATATTATATGACATTTTTGTGCTAAAAACAATTCTTCAATTTTAAAAAACACTGAATTACATCATGTAAGATTTACTTGCAAAGACTTCCTAAGCATTGGGTTATTCTTATGGATTAGCCACTTCATGTTCCACAAATGTTTATTTGCACAATGAGAAATAGACTTTTTTTTTTCTGTTTAGCCATCCCACTGTAATGCTGTGTGCTAAGCCTTGAAAACAAAGAGAATCAGACAACTGAGAAACCAAGGCCTTTCAATATTCAGTCAAGCCTAACATAGGAGCTCTAGCAGGAAATCCCCTGGCTCATAATTTACGGGTTCTTCCTTGTTTCATCCTTGGCTTAAACAAAGTAGGAAGAAAATCAGGCATGATTTTCCTGCATGGGACTTGAGGTATGAGGTTTGTAGAGCCAACTGGCTGCCATGAAATGGAAAGCTGATTTCCATGTGACTTGTCAACCTGGAGGGAGAGGCAATCCCAGCACATGTGTGAGGTTCACCAGCCCCTGGGCCTTTGCATGGGTTCAGTCCTTAGTTGCTTGGAACAACTCCTTCTGTTTCCCACTCCATTTTGTCCTCCAGGATCCAAATTAGAAGTCACTTTTTTGAAAAGCCTAACTCCAAGGGTGGCTTGGGTGCCTTACACTAAACTCTTTTGGTTCTGTGTGAATTCTTGTGCCACAGAGCTTTACCACATTTTACTATAATTGTTGACTTTCCTGTCCTCGCCATAGACCTTGAGGACAAGGACCATGTGTCCACCCTTGTTTCCTCCACTGTCTGGAGCTCTCCTTGAATAATACAGAACGGACAGAGGAGCAAAAGACTGCTGTGTGCAATGACAGCTTCCCTTGGAAAAAGGTGATTTGGTTATGCAGCATGGCTTCCTCAGCTTTTATGGAGGTGCTAGAATTTGAGGGACATGAAGAGAACTTTAGTGTTTAATGTTTAAGAATGCAACAGGGGAAGTCGTCCTGAGCAAAAATTTCACTATTTTCCCCCTAAATGTGTCTTTCTGTCTTTATATCCACAGTCACTCCTTAAATCACTATTGTCCCAGCACTGACAAGGGTAATATGTTAGACTTGTGTCTTAGATGAATGCTTGATAAAAAAGTAAATCCATGTGGCAGGTAAGACTTACAGTTTTCAGAGCTGGATTCAAAAGACAATGGGTAGCAGGAAAGGGACCTGGGCTGGGCACCTACTTTATTGGGCCGTGAGGACAGCACTAATGGGCATGAAGTTGGCTTCATGTAATGATATATGTTCCCTCACAAAAAAGGCACATTGACCTTTTGAAGGTCATTGAATTATGTTAATACTTTTAATGTACCGAGCATCATGTATCAACATGACTAAGATTGTACCCGTTTGTAGAGTGTAGAGTAAGAATTTTTACTACAAACTCAACATATCCGTTTTCACAAGTTCATACTTTGGTAGAGCTGGTTCTTTTTAAATGGAGGCCCATATTTATTTTCCTGTTGGTTAACGCAGTTCCCCTCTGGTCCCTCTGAGGTGATGTTCTCAGTTTTCCTTCCCCTAGCACTGAAAGAATGAAAAAACTTTTTAACGTGGGCCAACACCAACCCATTCACCCTTGCCCATAACTCGGCTTCCCAAAACCCAGAAGACCAAAATAGCCATAGACCATGTTTACACAAAGCAGAGTTGGGCCAAGAACTTTATCCCCCAAAGTGACTTTCCCCTTCCATGTAAAACAAGTTTGAGATTCCGAGTTATGAGAAACCATTTGGCAGGGAGATGGTGGCAGGTCCCTGTCAAGCACAGCCTCTGAGTATGGCTGCCTGCCCCACACAGACTGAGCCGTGGGGAGTGGAGCTTGCAGTATGGATTTTCCTGTCAAGCCACCTGCGTGGAAGGGTCCTGAAGATCATTTAAGAGGCTCCATAGAAGTACCAAGGCTCTCACTGACAACTTGAAATTAGAGCTGAGACTGAGTTGATGTTTCCATGATGTGGGTTTCAGTTCTGACTGAAATAAAAACTGCCTATGGGTCATGACTGGGGATTTGCTGTTTTATCTTCTAAACACTCCTGACAGTAACCCAGGCCAGGTGGTGCCCTATTTCTTTAGGTGGTTTTAAACCCAAACCTTGCTTCAAATTTTCTACTGCCTTCCAGTGGCCAAAATCATTTTTCTTTCTCATAGCATCATTTCCATAAACACACACACACACACACACACACACACATCTTTTATATAATGACTGCATGCTACACAGTGTCTTTCATAGAACAACCATCATAGCAAAATACTTCCTACTGCCAAGTAAGTAGTTAATTTGAAAGAGATTACAACCGCTGGCCCTCAGACAGGTACTCTTGTTCTGGGCTGCCTATAATCTGAGAACTTGGTGAAAAGCTTCAAAGTAGTTCAGTGAGTCTGATTTTTAAAAATTAAAGCAGAAGGCTCTGGTGAGGGTATTTCTAATCCAAAGAAAATAACATAGTTGTGGTAGGCAGTGGGGGTGTCGATAACAGAAACTTGGAATTTGGTGCCTGCATTCTAAACTTAGGAATGATAGCCAAGCAATGGTACCACACCTCTTGTGACTTTCTCATGAAAGACTAATTAGTGTCTTGAACTGGTAGCGACCCACTTCTGGACACAGATCAACCTGAACTGGGATTTATGGAAAGGAAAGTGAAAGACTTAATTCCATCTTTTCCTGCTTGTGGAGTTCTCAGTGCTTTAAGATACCTTAAAGGTGTTATAATAAAGTTGTATTTATATAGCATTTGGGAGGGGAAATGAAGACAGAGGAAGAGTGCTAGCATTTATTGGGGGGGTCTACTATGATTCTGTGCACTGTATCAGCCCATGAGGCATTTTTATGTGTGCCAGTTTATTTGCTTACCTCATTTCACAGTGGAGGAAAATGCAGTCAAAAGAGGTCAAATGACTTGTTCAGGATGTCTTAGGTAATAAGATGGGGCCTGGAATTCAGCCCAGGCCTTGTGGCTCCCAGTCCATGGCTCTTCCCACAACCCTACTGATAAGATCCTGCTAGTTCTCCTCTGATGACCGGTTCTCGGTGGAAGAGGTAAGGTCAGGCCAAGCCAATGGCCAGGACAAGTGAATTAAGTGCAGGAAGAGGTCCTGGAAGGCTCAACTCTTTCCAGTCTTTGTTCTTTTCTTTACTTCCTGCAGACTTTACTCTGTATTCTTCTCACACCCATATCACTGTACTGGTTCTCTGTGAAAACACTTCTTTTGTAAGGTGACTGTAAAGTCTTACATTTTAGGGGAGCTGGATGGCCCAGGCGTTTGAGCATCTCTTGATTTCTGCTCAGGTCATGATCTCACAGTCGGGAGATTGAGCCCCACAACAGTCTCTTTGCTGGGTGTGGAGCTTGTGTGGGATTCTCTTTCCCTTTCCCTCTGCCCCTCTTCCTGCTTATGTACTCTCTTTCTCTCTCTTTTCCAAATAAATAAATTAAAAAATAATCTTACATTTTACCATATCCAAATGTGCAAAGGACTTGGCACATAGTAGATGCTCTAAACGTATTTTCTCCTACTTAAACTTTATACCTCATCACAGTGCATCATACGGAGCGCACTCATTTCCTTGTCTGCAATATTGGGTTAAGTAGGTGTGGTGTTACTGGAAAGTGGGCTGCCTGTGACTTGTTATACCCTAGAGACAAAAGGAGCTATTTTCTTCCCTCTGCATTTGATGAAGAAAGCATGTGTTTTGATTCAGGCTTTAAAAGCTGAAGCAAATTTTCTGTTGCAGAATGTCAGTGAATGTGTGCTGAAGTTTAGCTATCAGGGTGGCATGTGATGTTCAGGATAGGAAGGCAGAGGGTGAAGTGAGCTCCTGGAGATGGAGACATAAGCAAGTGTGGGACCCCCCCTTTTTAATCCAATTAGCCCCTAGACAATGTTCAACTCCCTTAAGAGAGTATGTAGAAAACTAATAATTATTTAAACGTTTGTAATACTTGCTTGTTTTGCTCTTTTTTTTTAAGATTTTATTTATTTATTCTCGAGAGACACACAGAGAGAGAGGCAGAGACATAGGCAGAGGGAGAAGCAGGCTCTCCATGAGGAGTCTGATGCGGGACTTGATCCTGGGACCCTGGGATCACGACCCGGTCCAAAGGCAGACACTCAACCACGGAGCCACTCAGGCAGCCCTTGTTTTGCTCTTAAAAAGATTTCATCACTTTACTTTTTTAATAGCCTTCTTGTCAGATTGCATTTGGGCACCCTTTATTTTTGATTAAAGCTGCCCATCCACCTACCTATTCATCAAAGCTCCCTCTTTCCCTGCCTTCTACAAGGACTGTCATCTCTTCCAGGACACATGGGCTGGGTGGGGGAGGTGCTGCGGACTGCAGAGCATTCATTCTGCTGCTCCCCAGCTTTTGATTAATGAGCCAGAGGCTTTCCAACCTTTGAGACTTCAATTAGCCAAGCTGCAGAGCTGAAACCTTTTTATTATGAAGATAAAGCTGGGTTTAGCAAAAGGAATGGAGAACAGACTGGAGAAGAAAAACAAGTTTTTTCTTTCTTCTTCTTCTTCTTCTTCTCTTCTTCTCTTCTTCTTCTTCTTCTTCTTCTTCTTCTTTTTTTAGTGGATAAATCAATAAGCCATTGCTACACTCAATCAAATCTGTTATTGGATGGTTTTGGCTTCAATACACTTACTACTCTGGTAGGCCCTGGCTTTTCACGTGATTTTTCCCCCTGTAATTTCTAGATGGGATTATAACTGGTGAAGCACAAAGTTTTAGCCATCAAGGCTGTTCCATTGTGATGGATATTGCAGGCCCAGAAACCCTTCCAATTTGAGAAGTACCCCAGGGAGGGGGCAGGGGCACGTGATACCAAAGTGGCATTGTTCCTTGCCCAGAAAGCATGACGGGAGATGCTATGCAGTTAGAGCAGTCCTGATCCTTCCAAATGAGGGTAAATGTTCTTTGCTTCTCAGCAGGAACCAGGCAGGAGAGAAGATATCATTCCATGGCTGCCAGGGAAGTACTATGCCAGCAATCAATTTGTCTACTATAAAAGCCTTAGGTGGGGTTGATGAAACAGAAATGGGACTGAATTTCTCAAGAGAAGCAAGGTGACCAGGCCAAGACACTCTAAAGCCACATGGTATGGACAGCAGCACTCGACAAGTTGGAACAGCCATGGCTAAGACCCTAACCTAGAGCTCTGAGGGCTGGGGCAGGACTAGTGGGAGGGGGTCTCAAGAGGATGAGAATGAAAATGCCTTTGAGCAGGGAATGGCTGTTTCCCACTCATATCCAATCAAGTTAAGTGTCGCTTCCTTTCCTTTATTCTTTCTAGGTTGTGAGACATGTGAGGAAAAGCTACCTGAAGGCTCATTAGCACCCATTTTCCATGCTGCTATTGACATAGAGCAGACACGACTGAAATGGCGTTAGGTCCCCCATCGCTGGGATTGGGGCCCCGAGGTGATCACAGCCCACGGCGTGCTCCTCTGTGACCCATTTCCTGGCACTGGGTTCTGCTGTTGATTCTTCACTGGATTTTACCGCATCTCACCTTGCTTTCAGGGTCTAGGGGCTGTCCCATTCATAGACAGTGGTCTGCTTTCCTGGATGCAGAGGTCTCGGGGATTCAGTGCTTGCCTGACTCAAGATAGCAGCTAACCTGGGATTCCCCATGGCTGTGCTCTGCACTCTGATTAGAATCCCACTATAACTTTTCAGAAGTCCTATTACTACTTGAGCCTTCCTGGTGGGGCATCTGATATTTCCAAACGCCCTGTGGACCTGGTCTCCCAGCCCCTGCCTGTAACTAGCGCTTGGCTCTGGTCCCTTGTCTCTTTTTGCTCAGCAGGAGCAAGGATCCTTAGCTAGGATCCCTCGGGGGCTGAGGACAGTTCTGGGCATCCGAAGTGTCATGACAGCTCCCTCTCTCCAGGAGTTTTAATCTGGTTGAAAGACAGAACTTGTATGGGCGCAAAGTACTTTTAAAGTGAAAAAATATATAGATTTTTTAAAAAGCAGCAGAAAGATAAAAAATAGAGTGCACAATTAACTATTGAACACAGTTTAGAGAGAAATACTGTAGGAACTCGGAGAAGATAGTCAGGAAGGGCTGAATCTGAACTTTTGATTTTGGGGAGAGAATTGTGGATAAGATTTTATAGGCAGAAAGGAGAGAATGGGGAGAATGGTTTATGAGGTAAATTGTCCCTCCCCAGCCCCAATTTTATATGTTGAATTCCTAACCCCCAGGACTTCAGAATGAGACTGCATTTGGAGAAAGTTTCTTTAAAGAGGCGGTTAAGGTTAAATGAGGTCTTTGGGGTGGGCCCTGATCCAATCAGGCTGTGTCCTTAGAAAAAGAGGGAAGAGGGAAGAGGGAAGGTGATGTGCGGACACTGGGAGAAGGCGGCCAGCCACAAGCCGAGGAGAGAGGCCTCAGAGGAGGCAACCTTGCAGACCCTCGATCTCAGATGTCCAAACTCCAGAACTTTGAGAGAATAAACATCTGTGTTGAAGCCTCCAGTTTGGGGTACTTTGCTATGACGCCCCAGCAGACTACCCCAGGGGGTTACACATGCATGGAGCTGTGTCAGCAAAAACAGGAGAGGACCCTCTTCGTAGAGGAGAGAGGTTCCTGGCACAGAGTTATGATGAGAGAATAGAGAGAGTCCATGAACAAGTTCCAGTGGCAGAGGAGCTGGCAGGGACGGGGACAGATGGGAGCACCAGCCAAGAAGGAGCACCTGTCACCTGGTTGAGTTCTGTTCAGTTTTGCTTAGGGTATGCCTTCTAAGGGAGCAATCATTGCTTAATGCTAACCTGAAACCAGGTTTGCTTTGGGATTAATCACGTCTTGAAGGCACTAGGGACTAAGAGGGAGAATGAAAGGTAAAGGGACACAGAGGCTAGAGACAAACGATGCAGAAGAGAATGAGAAGGTGACATCGTAGGGCTCAGTAAAGACTTCCAAAATGTCAGAGCGAGAGGTGGCGACTGGTAAAAGAGATGCTCACCCGTGGGTGGGCATGGAAATAACAGGAAACCACACTTGACCAGCAGCACGTTGTGTCTACACCTGCCTTCAAGTGGAACTGACAAGTGCAGAAAGACAGTCATGGGGGCACAGGTACAAGTCCTCATGGGGGCTCCCATCTCCTGCCTGGGGCTCCCTGAGGCTTCAAAGACACCAGCTTGCAGTCTCAGGCCTGACTTGGGGAGGGGACAGAGGAGCTGCGGGAAGCCCCCTTTGTCACCCAGGGCAATGCTCAGAGCAGGGTATCCATGGGAACAGGCACCCTCTGCGGCCAGGGTGACCTACCCCATCATTTGTTGCTTGTCAGTCTGAAAAAAAGTAGAGGGTGAATCATGGAGAGAGAGGCAGGGACAAGGAAAGGAGACTGGGAAGGACGGAGGGACAGGATCAAAGCTGAAGGGGACACAGAGAGGAAGGGTAGCTGCCCCAGAGCACCAGCCCAGGCCTTCCTTTCTGGGCCCAACTGAGGCACTGCTGTTAGTACCAATATTTTTGATAGTGTTCCATTATTTCATATATTACTGATGTCATTATCAATATCTGCAGGTCCTTCCTCATCAGTTCTGCACCTGCTGCCATCCCATGTTCTACCCCCCTCGCCCCGGCCCTGGCCCTGTCACAGAGTCTCAGGTCTCAACACTGTGGACCTTGTCCTAGGCCACCAGAAGGGCATCCCTTGTTTCCAACTGACAGCGTCTGTCTCCCCTCACTGCCTGAGAGGACGGGGACGGGCATGCTTCGAGAGTCATGGCTTCATCGTTGCAGGGGATGGATGAATGTTTCTCCATGGCAATGTCATTTTTAGTCTAGTAAGGTGATTTCAGGCTTAAACTGAAATGAGAAACAGGGAAAGAAGAAGGAAAAGGATGAAGAAGAGAAGAAGTCCCGCTCGAAGTGAATTTTTGTCTTTGGAAGATGTCCCTCCCCTCCAACATCTCTTTCTGTTACCCTGTTTCTTGGTGATCCCCAGGGTGGACCCTCAGATGTCCTGGCGCAGGGTACCATAGTCAGAAGTCCTTCCCAAGGAGCCAGGTATGGCCCCCAAAGGCCACCACTTCAACAGGCTCCAGTGCTCCGGGAGGGATTTCACATCAGCTGTGGGCAAATGGCACCCACGGGTTGTTGCTACTTGCAGAGTCAGCTGGGTTATGCTGGGAGATTTTGCCAGTGGGGTGAAAAGCTGAAAGACCCTGTCTCCACCCATGGATGCCCTGTTCTGCTGCCTACCCGTTCTACAGAACCTAACAGTAGGCAGGGGTGGTGGGTGTTTCCCTCTTGTCCCAATGCCTGGGTAGAAAGTTACAATGACGTGCTAGATTATGTCTTTTGGGTGAATGGGTTACACAGAGTAGCCTCCTCCTCCCCCCAAGTATGAACTTGTCACTTCATCTAAAAAATCATGCAGGTTGGAAATATTAATGTGGTCAGGTAGAGATATATCAATGGTATATTTTAAAAAAAAAAAGATGCTTGTAAGTTGAACACTGAAATCCACTGCTTAGCATTATTATTGTTCCTATACCATAAGTTAGAGATAGCACAGATCAAGGATGGCAGATTAGGACTAATGGGCTAAATCTGGCTCATGGCTGTTTTTTTTTTTTTTTTTTTGCTTCTTTGTTTTTTGCTTTGTAGGGTTGTTCCCCCAAAAAGCAAAAAACAAAGAAGAAGATGCGACAAAGAGTGTATGGCCCACAATGCCTCAAATATTTACTATCTAGCTATTTACAGAAAATGTTTGCCAACCCCAGGTGTACATTATTAAATAGATTTTATTTTTTTACTTGGTCTGGGAACACCCTTCTCCTCCCCCATCTGTAACAATGATTCTTGGAAAAATTTGTTCTTGACTTGCAACAGATGAACTTGGAACACACCCAGCTCATAAGCTGGGGATTGTCTGCGTCTCTTGGGATTTTTTTTTTTTTTTTGTGCCAAATGCAGTGCCTGGTGCAGGAGAGGAAGCGAGCAGCTTGCTGACAATGACAAAAGGATGTAACAACAACCCTCAGGCTCACTGGAAGAGGAGCTTCTAGAAACTTCTTTTGTGACCTTTGCATTCCTGAGGTTCTTAAGGTGTTAATCACTGCTGGCTTTGCCTTGCTTGTTACCCTGTTGAGCAAACCAAAAATCCCCTGCCCCGATTACTTCCTTAGCTCTGGTGCTGCCTATCTAGGGAGAAAGAACAGAATCACATCTGTTTGTCCTTTAGCCAATGAGAAAAGCATAGACAAATATGACTCAGAACAATCTTGTATTGTCCAGCCGCTGGCAGGGACAGAATAGGAGAGAAGGTGCCAATGGAACTGAAAATATGGATCAGAGATGAACAAGTGACATAGGAAATTCATGGTCTCAAGAAACACAGAGGACCCTGGGGATACCAAGGGTATCATGGAAAACAGAGTCAGAGGCTGGATTTGGGGCTATTCAAAGCATCATCCTTAAGTCTCTAAGTCTCCGTGTTTCTTCATATGTTAAGTAAAGATAATACACCCTTCCTTCTCTTTGTCCCTCACAGAGATGACTTGAGATAGGCGAATTTACTTGGACAAGTACACAGTGTTACATAAATGGGAAGACATACAAGCTTATGTTGGGGCTTCCTGTCTTAGCTTCTTTTCTATTGCATCTGAAGGCACCTCCTGTACTCAGGCTTCTTCTTCTTTTTTTTTTTTTTTTTTCGTACTCAGGCTTCTTAATAGACTGGTGCCTTCATTATTGTTTTCTACAAATGCAGTGTGAATTTGCTTGTAGATTTTTTTCACCTTATTAAGTCTGTATTTCACATAGTTTAGCTCTAATCATTTCCAGCTTATGATGTGGCCATGTTGACTGCAATATAGAGGGAAAGTGATGTAACGACTCCTGAGCCACATGGAAAGGAAAGACAGTCAGTTTGTCATTGGAAATGAAGAAGCAACCAGCTTCAGGGCAGTTCCTTGCTTATCAGTTGCAGCAAAGTGTTACTAAACCAAGCAACCTGCTTTGAGCGATGTCCAGGGTAAGTCTTCCTCTTCCTTCTCAACACTGCCCCCTGCCCACCATCATAACCTTCCTTTAAGGTAGGAGACTCAGGAATCCGTGTTGCGGTAGCAAAGAAGAAATGATATTTTCCTGCACAGAGCAGATAAGCTCCATCCTGTGCCCCCACGACATCTGGGTCTGGGGCGGGGGGCATGAGTGAGGCAGTGCTGATGGGAACAATGGAAGAGCCTGGGTGTCCTCTGCCGAAATCCTAACTTGCTTTTGCCAGCCCAGCCACCAAAGTCATCTCCACTTGCTCATCTTGCAGGGACTTTGGAGGGCCAGGAGGCCACTGTTGTCATTGCTTTTTGAAGACGGTGGACCCCACAGCAGCCTGGGCTCAGCCCTGCTCCCCAGCACAGTGTGTAGACAAGGAGCAGGTGCCAACAGTGTTCCAACCAGGCTGGACCGGAGCTGTGTGCAGGCGGTTTCAGGATTAAAAGTCCTAGTAGTATAAAAAGAAATCAGAGTAACAGTGAGCACACCTCTATTGCCTTCCTACTGGCCACCATTGCCTTCTTTTTGGTCACCCTATTTTTGCTTGCAGAGTTTACCTTCCATGTGCTTGGGCTCCCTTCTCCCTTTGTTGACGAGCAGAGCTCTTTCCTTAATTAAGTCAACAAGTACTCATACGCAGAGGCAGCATCTCTTTTGGCAAGAGGACCTGTGCAGAACCAACCCCAGAAGCAAATGAGAATGTTTGTCAAGCTCTGATTAAGTAGCTGTGATTCAAGAGTGAATAATTACCTGCCCCAGCAAAGAGTTCCTAAAACGTTCTCACTCCTAGGCCGTGACCACGAGACTTACTAGACCAGAAGGTCTGGTGATGGGTTGGTTCACTTTGAGGCGCTGAGACAATCTGAGATACTCAGGGCATATAGCTTTCATTTGCAAAAGGGAATCCAAGAACAAGTGGACACCAGCTAACCCACAGCCATGGCTGCCAACTGGTTATTCATTTTCAAAGACCCCCTATGTCTCTGGGCACCTGGGGATCAGCATTATGAGCTGTTCCCCTACGGGGACATGCATGAAATCCACGTGTTTGACATGCTCTCTGGGCTCTGTGTAATTCCTGGTGAAATATCTCTTATTTCCTTCTCTCTCTCTCTTCAACTCAAAAAAAAAAATGTTGGAATACAGGTGAGAGTGATGTTGTATTTGTTTTTATTTATTGTAAAAAGGGACATACTTCCTGAAAGTGTGCCAATTAACTGTGATTGGTACTCAATAACCCCGACATCCTAAGCAACGTGTTTCATATCCCCTACTGGGTTTTGCCATTCTAAGCCAATGTGGCCTCTTCTGCATTTTCTTACATGCTCACCTGCTCCCAGTTTGATAGAATTTATCTTTCTTGCAAGGCCCGAATAACTTTCCATGTCATTATGCCCTAAAAAAATGGTGCAGTCTGAAAGGTAGGCACCCAACCCTTCTGATTATGGTCTGTTTTGGGGATTTGGCTGGGCTGGAGTCTGGCAGTAGATGTACAGAGGTTAATTGGAAGGCACATCCCCAAGAAACAAAACGTTAAAATGCTGCATGGTTTCATATCCTCAGCATAACCAATCCAAACTGGAGTACATCCCCCCTTACTGTCCCCACTGTTTAGGAGGCAGAGGCACTGGAAAAAACGTGTAGACTTTAGTGTTAGGCAGATCCAGGATTGAATCACGGTTCCTCACTGGCCTAGGGTGAGTCCTTAATCACTTCTAACAATCAGATTTTTCCCTTTGAGATAGAAATGTGAGATTGCTATGAGGTTTATAGATAATGGGGTATGTAATGCCCTGTCAATGCCTGGCCCACAAAAGAAGCTAACAAAAAAGACTTAAAAAATATATGTATTTACCCCCCAAACCACTGTCCACCACAGATAGACAAATCCAGGTAAGTAGTGAGAGTCCGAAACCTTAATATTTTGGAGTGTTAGCAAACACAAAGTGATGACAGGCAGAACGATCTTGGATGAGACAGGAGTAAGGCAAGCAGAAGAAAACTGTGACAAGCAAAATGCTTTCTTGAAATCCTTGCCATAGCTTGGGGAAATGTTTAAGTAGAAAGACTCAAGGTCTTTCTTAACACATGCAATTCAAACCACAAAAGAAACTCAAATTTTGCCTATCCCATAATATCAAGTAGATTTTTTTTTTGTGATGTTTAGACAGTCTCAAAGCAACTGCTTTTTATAACACATTAGAGAAAACATTTTGACCACTGTTACTCTGGGTAAATTCTTCGAACTCCAAATAGAAGCAGTAAACATGTGAGTATAAATATGACAATCATTTGTTTAACTGTGACAATTTTAGAGAGTTTTTTGGCATGCTCAAAGGTACAGAGATTTTTGTGGATGAGTAAAAAATAACTCGAGTATTGTTTATCCCACTTCGACTAAGTCTTGGGTGACATTATCAATTTTTTTGTAAAACTGGCGTGTTTATACCTAATATTGTGTTATGGGAAAGGAAATAAATGTTAAAGTTTGCCTCCCTGGAGGGACTGGGGTTGGTGAAGAGTGTAGCAGATAATTATTTAAGGACAGTTTCACATGAAGACAATTGTCATGGCTTTTATCTGATGACCAAAAGATTTTCTATTTGTTTGTTTTGATTAGAAGTGCCTTTGATGCTAGCTTTCTGGTCATCCTTAGTTTTTTAAAATCTAAAATTTAAATTTGTCTGGAAACTGTGTTTAAAGGGAGCCATATTTTATGGAAGCAAAACAATTACCATTCTTTTCATGGGCATGCTCTTCCTGTAAAGGGGAGCCTGACCAAAGTGGTTTTTAATATTCAGATCCTGAAAGAAACTCAACAATGAAATGTATCTTTCCTATCAAGGCAGAAGACAAGTGAAGTTTGCATAGTCAAGTCCTTCTCTGATGCTTTTATCCATAATAGGACACCACATCTGGTAGAGCTGTTATGGGACATGCAGACATACTAGAAGAATCTAAAAATCCAGCCAATATCTAACGCCAGAATCAACGTTATAAGCACAAGGCATAGCGCCTGTCTGGTCAGCAAGACATTCTCCAGAAAAGGCTGAAAAAGCAAAACATTCAATGTCCAGGCATGGCCGACAACAGCCTCAAATCCACATGCAAACATCCCCCCCCCGCCCACCGCCCCCCGCCCCCAACCATGGCAGTGCGCAAAGATATTAGCCTTCAAGAAGCATCTGAAGACATTTGCATTTTGCCCCACAGGAAGAAGAAAAGATAAGGAGCCCCTGCCTTGGCTGTGAAAGCTCAACAGGAGCCACAACCTACTTTGAAATTCATAGAGGAAATTACTCAAATAGGGGGAAGAGGTCACAGAAATGGTCAGTCCAGCAGTTTCAGATCAGCGATTCCGGTCACCAATTATTCCAAACCCATAAACCGTATTTTAAACTCTTATTGTGGAAAGTGAAAAATATTTTAATTCGTTACATATGATAATCCTCTTCCTCTCTAGTCATAAGCAGAGTTATTCAGGGTGACCAGAATTTGGTATACAGAAAGAATGTTCCCCAAGTTCCCGTAGAAAGTGGGAACAGATGAAGTGAACGGGCTCCTGGATCTTTCAACGGGATTAAATGGGCTTCTGTTGAAAACTATTTGCAAATTCCTGCTTTAGACGATTTTCTGGCGACCAGTCAGTATCCTCCCAAGCTAAGCATGTGTATCTCTCAAAGTTCAGGAAGGATATACCTGGATCATAAGGCTCATTCCACCATGCTACATGTGCATTCAGGACCTTGAACCTCATTCATTATGCAGTAGCAAAGGCGCTGAGGAAAAATGGAAGTCCAGCTGTGCCTCTCAAAATAGTATAAGCTCTGGATTTTCATAATGGTGTTCTGGAAAAGGTAAGCCATTTGCCAAGAAAAGCCTTTCTGGGCCACATCGAAAAGGCTGTGCAGGAAGTTTGCAGCCTCTTAGCATGAAATCAGCACCCACCCCACCCCCTTGATCTTTGAATATGTTTCACGAGAAGCCTTCCTTGATTTGATCTTGGAACTGCTTACTGGAATTCTTTCTGTAGCAGTAAAGTTGAAAAAACCAACCCTCATCTCTACGGTCTCCCATGAGGAAGGGCCATCTTTTTGCGGACTGTCTAGACTCAAGCATAGAGGGTTAGAGGGTGTGCCTCCACCAGTTCAGACACATAATGAGTGCCCCTCACCCTCATCTCTAGGGAATCGGGAGAAGTATCTGCTCAAATTGCAGCAAAAGGTAAATCTCACTGTCAAGTTTCACCCAAGTCAAGAAACGATATGGTCAGAAATGGTGGAATTTAAAACGTGCTCTAAAAATAATGTGCCTGGATATTGGCCACCATCTTAAGGCTCTTCCTCTCAGGGCCCTCTCCTCATAAATATCCAACGTGGCTGTCAGTAAGTTTAGCCTGAAAATAAAATCCCCTCACTCCATCAAGAAATAGCTCCAAACTTAGAGTGTGTGCTCAAAATATTCATGATGAAATCATAACCTTATATTTATAGTCTTTTGGATTGTGTATGACATTCTGTTTCCCATGGTGTTTTTTGTTGCAAGGGCCAGACGTGGAAAGCAGCCTCAGAGGATGACCGAGAGAGCATTAGCCTCAAGGAAATGCTGTTTATCATCATTTTGAACTGGATGGTTGTGTGACATCCTCCTTCTTCCCCAAGCCCTACCCACTGCCCAAGAGTCGGGTCTCTTTCCCCATCCCATTCCCAGGCGGTCCCCAGTCTCATAGTCCTGTCTTGTCCTCCAGGAAGAGTGAACTGACCTTCCAAGTAGGAAGTGGGATGGGTGCCTAAGCTCATCCCCCTCAGTCCCCTTCCTTCTGACCTTTCCTGTCCTCTAGACTTCCTCCCCATTTTCACTGAGGGAGATGGTGTGGATCTTAATGGTTGGAATTTGGTGGTTCTCTCCATGGCTGGGGGTCGAGGGCCCCATGCAGCAGCACACCTGCAAAAAGCTTTTACTTCTCACCCGGGCTGTGGTGCAGGCTGACTGGTCTTTGGACACTGTAATCCTGGCAGATTCACGGGGCATTGAAGAGAAAACTTTCCATTCACAGACCCCATCCGTCTTGGAGATCTTATAAAAGGTCTCTCCTGATCCCACTGGAATGCGCACCAGCTCCTTGGGCTGCCCCTCCAGGGCGTGGCTGGGCTGGTGCAAGGTATAGCCCAGGGTGTGTTTAGAAGACTGCTTTCTGCGGAGACACTGGATTCTCAAGACATTCTGAAAGGCCTTTTTAAACTCTTGACTGGAGCACGGATATATAATGGGGTTGATGCAGCTGTTTAGGTATCCGAGCCAAAACGCTATTTTAAAAACTGTTTCTGAGGGCTTGAAATCAGGGAAGAAAGACCCTGGAAGAAAACACAGATTGTACATATTATTTGCAAGCCAACAGGCCAACTGGCTAGGAAAACAAGCAAAGAAACCAACACACGTATTTTTACA